AGAGCGCAATGATGGTGCCAACTTGGGCCAGTGAAGCAACATCCTCCACAACTAGATTGAAGAACAAAAAAAAAACGACAGCAACTTGTCTGTTCTCCTTTCCCCAATTCCCCAGCACTGTTCCCATCCCCCCAATTCCCCAATAAAAATCTTTTAAAAATAAATAAATAAATAAATAAAATAAAAATAATGTCAGCACAATATTTTGGTTTGTACAAAACCAGGGTTAAATAAATTACTTAAACTTTCTGAATTTCTCACATAGGTTTTATGAGTTAATTAAGTCACCATTGTTTATTGTACATATGTTTGTCATACATATATGGAATGATAATAACAGATGTCTTTTTTTAAAGACTTTAATTTTATGAAATTCTTAAATTGCTACAAATCACAAAGATTTAACATGTTAGCTAAAATTGACATTTCCAGATCCTAACTAACTTTAGGACCTTAGATAAAAGTTAATTAATACATAATCTTTGGATGCCTGGACAGTTTCTAAGTAAGAAAGAAGATTTAAAAAAAACACTAGTCACTGAATGTAATTTTTTATTCTTATTTCCTACAATGGCACTGTCCTTATCATCCATAAATCCAGGAAAAGGGCAGAGAACTAATGGAATTCTAAAACCAAAATTATCAAAGCTCTCAGAAACCCTTTGAAAATCCATGGCCTAAAGTATTGCCATTTTCTTTGATGGCCACAAGATCGTCCCCTCTAAGGTCTACACGTTATCTCCTTCTGAGTTAATGATGGGTTGCCCCGCACATTGGAAAGTACTTCCAACCCTAGACTTTACTCTACTACAAACTAATGTGACTAATTACTGTAGGGAGCTCATACAATACCTCCAGGTTTATCACCAGCAGGTACAAGCTGCATTTTAAAAACACCCACCTAAGCTGCCTCTGCAAGATCACAAACCTGAAGGTTTGGTTTTCTTAAAAAGCATCAGAAAAAGTGCCCTTCAGCCTCCATGGAAGAAAAGACATCAGGTACTGTTAGCAACTGACACAGCAATAAAACTCCAAGGTACTGATACTCCAGTTCATGTTTCCCAACTTAAAAAATAATACACCACGGGGGGTAAAAAGTATAACTATTGCACTGTGCTGTACAGCTGAAACTAATTTTTTAAAATGTGTATTTCACAATAAAAAATATATATTATCAGTTTTAAAAAAAGTTCAGAAAATGGATAAGATTTTATCATGATAAAGTCTCTGGAAAACTCCACAGTAAAGAAATCTGGGTGGGGTGGCCAGTTAGCTCAGGTAGTTAGAGCGCAGGCTCATAATACTAAGGTTGCTGGTTCGATTCTCACATGGGCTGCAGAGCTGCACCCTCCACAACTAGATTGAAGACAACTACTTGACTTGGATTAAATTTTTTACTTGGATTAAATGATTAAATTTTGTCAAGTAAACAGTCAAATTCAGATCAGTAGCTATGAGCTGAGAAAAACCCATAAGAGCGTTTTGTTTTTTCTTGGAAAAATGCCCTCCACAACTAGATTGAAACAACTACTTGACTTGGAGCTAATGGGTCCTAGGAAAACGCACTGTTCCCCAATAAAATTTCTTTAAAAAAATAAATAATAATAATAATAATAATACATCACTTTAGCCTGACTACTGGACAGCCATTTTATTGGGACACTAAAGAGGATTCTTAGGAACCCTCCAGAAACTGCTGACTGAAGAAGTGGGCAGCTTCTGCCCAAGGTTTCTTTTTATTCTTCAGTAGCCTTTTCCTCCTCTTTCCCACTCATCTTGCCTATTATTGTACTTTATACTCTCCAGAAACTGACTAAAAGGCTTCAATATATCTTGTGACTTTTGACCCTCTATAATCTTCTCCCATTTAAGAAAAAAACAAAACTTTCTGATGGGTTTTTCTCAGATCATAGCTACTGCTCTGAATTTGACTGTCTACTGACAAAAATTTAATCATTTTTCCTTTAAACACTTTAGAAGGTACATTTCCTTTTATAGGCCCCTTGTGGTTCTTAAGTTTCCTTCACATCATTAATCCCAAACTTTGGCCATATAAAAATTGATCTCACATCAATGAAATGCTTCTACTGAGGTCATTACAACGCTATCAGCAAAACCTAGCCCATAAGTAATGAGAAATAATATTGGGACTATGCCTGGTTACAATCATTTGTTCTCTTCAGAGACACTCCTTAGGAAACTGTTTAACTTCACTCATGATACCTACCCATTTCAAGGGACATATAATTAGTTCATGAAAAATGGTACTTATATACCCAATAGAGTCTGTGCCCCATTATGATACCATTTCTTATGGGGACATCAGACTTACATGCACCTGCGACACACTAACTTTTCTAGTATATTTGGGGTAATTGTTAGAGACTTCCAGATATTTAGAATTACCATCCCTCCTGTGAAACATGTCTTCCTGAAAAGAAGAAGCAAGCACAGGTGAGTTGGGGTAACTCCCAGGAAAGATAACTGACCCTTCATGCATTTTCTGTGAGCTGCAATTTCCACAATGGTGGAAAAAAAATGGTCCCGAATCTGTTTCCGACACCTGGAGATCTCAGTCCCACTCTTTGTCCCACCCAACAAAGTGTCCTTCAAGATTTTATTTTACTACTCATGGTTTGTGCTATTTGCCAAATTTTCCCCAGCTGTATGTGGCTTTGGGAGTCTTACTTTGTAGACTTGTGTTTTCCCATCTGTAAATGAGGAGGGACTCAGGAGAATAGTTGTCTTAAGTAACCCCCAAGGTGAAGGGGAAATAATTGAGGCCACAAGTGCCACTTAGTCTAAGTTACTAACCTTAAACTTTGCTCTAAGCATCTCCTTCTTGCCTAGAGCCCTTCCTCCTTCGTGAATTAAAGAGAATTAGAATGCCACAATGATTGTGATTTGAGTGTTCTAAAGGGTTTTAGGATAGTGCAGATGGCAAGGAATGTGACACTAGATTTAAGAGACATAAATAATAAAGAATACTGACCTTGAATTCAGTACATTCAATAAAATGCACAAATCTCAAGCATACCACTGGGTGATGCTTGACAGGGTATACACTTGTGCAACTCAAAGCTCCATCAGGATATACCCAACAGCTCCGTCACCCCCAGAAAATTTTCTTAACTCCCCTTCACAGTTAATCCCTGGCTCCCATTCCCCAAGGGCAACCACCATTCTGTTTACCTCCCTCCTTTAATTTGTTTTAATATTTTCAACTTGTGGGTTATTTAGAAAAAGTGTGGGTGGTGAGGTGGCAGGACCAGGACTACATGGAGGCTCTCAATGAACAATGTGAAGCTGTGAAATCAAGCCTTTCCTTTCCCCCCACCAAAAATGTCTTTGCAAGAGTTGGCCTCCAGCCATCAGGATCTTCTCCACTAGGAAAAGAGAGGATGTATTTAACAGCTTTGCTCTTTCCTTTTTAACCTGTTTATTTGAACCGACCCTCCACCTACTCTCTCGGTTAAACATTTTAACTTTTTGTTTAAGAGAAACCAGCTAACCGTCCAAACTCCAAAGCCTAGGTTCACTGGTCTCTAAGCCTCGGCCCCACCGCCCTATCCGGGTGGCTTTACAGGATTCTTCCAGCTGAGATGGAGGACAGGGACAGCGTTGGGGTTTACCGGTTTCACCCCCACCCCCAGCCTAAGTGCCGCCCCTCCCGCCCACGCCCCCTCCCGCTCCGCTGCCTGACCTTTGAGCCACCTTGAAGTCACCAGCCTAGCTTCCCTGCCCCCTCCCTGGAAAGGTCTGGCGATAGCCGAGCAAAACCCTCTCAGACTGATCTTCCGACCAGGGACGGTGGGAAGGACACTGACTGCCCTCTGCCTACCCACGGACCCGCGCCCGAGACCAGGCGGGATCGACCTTCAGCCTCCGAGGGCCTCGCTGTCGCCTGAGGCCACAGCGGCGCTACTAGATAGCGGAGTGGCCCGTCGCCCACACAGGTGCCCAGGTGTAGCAGGTAACTGCCGCAGCGTCCCCGCTCCCACCACCACCACCACCCAGCCACCCGTTTGTGGCCACGAACTCCTGTCGGGCTGCACTCCCTGTATGGAGCCCAGGCAGAAAGGGAACATTTGACAGTCCCTGGCTTGCACGACTGAGCAAGCGAGCGTGGGGTTAAAAGTTGCTATTGCAAAAGCCCCGCGTCTGATCTTGGGCCTTATCTCAGACTGATAACACGCAGGCCTTTGGAGCCCGTGCCAATTTTTAACAGTCAATGAAGATTGCAAATGCTTTCACACTGGCAGTCGGTATTTGAGGCCGATTTGAGCTGTGTTTCTAAAAAAAAATGCAGTTTATTGAAGGAAATATTAAACCAAATATTGGATTGTTTTCCTTTTCCTCCCATTATTAACTTGCCCATCCATGTGTGGGACCACTTTCTTCAAAGCAGATAGATGCCAGAGAGAAAATATGAAGATTCAGGTGATTTTGGTCATCATCAGGGCAATTTAGGAAAGAGAGAACGCTCTTGAAAGTTGCCTGTTTTTCTTCCCCCATATGGGGTTCTTAGGCAATGTTTTTTCCTCTCTGATAATTTTTCATTTTCTTCTCCCTGTTCACTGGTCACACAGTCTCTGGCCTAAAGTCCCAGCATAAAATGTTCCTGCCTGTGAAGTTCAAGACTCCTTGCCAAATTGGCACAGTGCCTTCCTAGGCAGCAAGAAATAGCTGAGGGGCTGTCAGCTCTACAAGGGTGTCCAGACCATGTCCTTTTCTCCATCCCTTCCATTGTCTGAATTTGAAAATCCATGTTCATTCTAATTTAGTGTATTATCACTGATGAACATATTTTTTTTTTACAATGGAGTCAGAAAAATGCAGAGCAGAAGGCTCTGGCCTTTGAGCGGTCAAAGTGAATCAACAGCAATGGGTGGGGAGGGCAGCAGGAGAAGGTGACCTGCAGACTCCCAGAGGGGCCACCAATGAGGGAGCTGCCCGCCCCCTGACCTACCTTGGGGAACAGGGTGCTGGCATAAAGAGCGCCCTTGCCTCTTCTGAGCTGCTAGCTCTCTGAGGTCACCAGCGCCAAGGTGTGGATGTTGGAGTGTTTCTCTCTCTCTCTCTCTCTCTCTCTCTCTCTCTCTCTCTCTCAAAAAAAAAAAAGCCCTGGTAAGTTGACTGAAGATGTCTCATGTTATTGCTTATCAGCTCTTCTTTTTCAGGTACATCTCCTCCTGCACCATTGCATATTGCGTTCTGATTTGGAGAAAGTGTGTCCAGCCCTCCTAGTTCTAATAAAAACAACTCAATCTGTATTGGGCTCTTACCAGGGTCTCAAGCCAGGTGTTGTGCTGCATTTGCTCCTTGTGATTACATTTCATTTTGTCTCTGTCGCCCTCAGTAGATTTCCTCATGACAATGTCTGCCATTAAGATTGAGTGCGTCCTGCCAGGGAACTGCCGGTTAGGTGAGTCTCCGGTGTGGGAGGAAGCGTCCAACTCTCTGCTCTTCGTAGATATTCCTGCAAAAAGGGTTTGCCGGTGGGATTCGCTCAGCCAGCGAGTGCAACAAATGACTGTGGGTAAGGATGAAAGCCAGGCTCAGATCCACTGAGCTAGCCATCTTTTCCCTGGGGAGGGGCAGGACCACCTAAGATGCCATTCCCACAGGCATGTTAAAGCGTGCTGAATAGACTTTAAAACTTTTGGATTGCCATGCTGTCTGTCCTCCCACCTCCCACTTTGACCCAGGAGTAAACTCCGGATAGTCAATACTTTCGTCTTCCTCTGTGGGGGAGGGGCAACATTTTGGTCTGATAAGGAGTCACTGTAGAATCTTTCTTTAACACCTTCAGATAACAGCATTGAAAGCTTGAGACCCAGTATTTACCTTGGGTCAGACCAAGGACTTAATTTAAAAAAAAAGTGTACCTCTTCTTTGAATGTGAAAAGAGCTTTTAGACCTATAAAGCATCAACCAGAACTAATCTGTTCAATGTACAAAATAGAATTTCCAGTGCTTTGGAGTGTGATTCTGTTTATGGCTATGTGATTTCCAGAGGAAGGGTTTATGACATTCTGTGGCCCAAAGGGATGGACATGACTGATAAGCCATAGAGAAAGAAGTTTCTTGTTTTCATTATTGTGTTCATGGGAAGAGATACCAGGAATTCCTACACACTGGGACCTTCACTCTCAACCCAGAACTGAAGACCTCAAACTTTATTTTTATGAGAGGGAAAAACTTTTTAATTCACTCATGGATGTGACTGGCTGGAAGCAAAGTGACTGTGGCCACTGAGGTCAGAGTAGGGGGAGGGACCCGGGCCTTTCCTCGTCTCTTTCCCAGCATATACACATTAGGGGTATATTCCTACCCTAATCTGCACACACCCCTCCCCCAAACCGTGGAAAGGGCTTGTGGTGTCAGCAGTAGCTTAGAAGGCTAACAGAACTCTCAAGCCACAGGCTGGGATCCCTAATGAGAATGTGACCCTCCTAATAGTGTCCTGCACATTCCCTGGGGCCCTCAGTGGCTCAAATCAACTTCTGAGCAGGACTTTTAGCTGAAAGCTGCTCCCAGAGCACCCAGCACCTTGCACTGAATAGGTGTTCAGAAAACGTTTTCAAAATAAATTCTGATAAATTTGGTTCTGGTGACTGCTCACCATGGTAAATAATCTCTCCACTTAAAAGGAAAAAAAAGAAGTTTCCTTATACACTGAAGAATATTAAACCCAGAAACCCTAAAATTTAAAAATACAGGGAGCATTTTAGATCTTGCTCCCCAGCATATATCATCACCCTGGTTCAAATAAACTCTTATAAAAATTCTCTAAATAAATAAATACAAAATATAGTAATAAGATGAAGACATGTGTTTTATCACTACAGCTACATTTCTATTTATTACTTTTATCATGCCTACTTCCAAAAAGGATTTGAAAAACTATTTTAATTAAATTATTTTAAATTGAATTAGATTTAAATACAATTTAAATAAAATATTTTAATTAAATTAAATTAATATTTAATTTAAACAAATTAAAAATATTTTCTTTAGTTAAATAAATTTAATTTCTAATTAAATACGGCCCCTTAAAAAAGGCAATGATGTATTGGAGGGAGAGAAAGACGTCACAAAACCTAGTTGCTGGAACTAAACAAAGTTTGTCTCTGAATTTCCTGGAAATCTGTCAAATTGAGCTTCGCTTGTTCTGTAACAACTGCTCTGGTGCGCCCTCCCCCAGTTAGGAACCTCCTCCTCTGAACTTTACCTGGTGCCTGCCCCACCGTGTGGTGGCTGCTGTGGTTTGACTTCCCTGCTTCTCCCACTAGGCTGGCAGCTTCCAGAAGAATTGGGTTTCATTCACCTTTCTGTTCCTGCTATACAGAGCAGCACACCGAGTTCACTCTCAACAAATATACTCGGTTATGTAGCCTTCACTATTCAACAGAAGGAAGAGAGCACTCCCATTGTCGAAAGAGCTGGAATCCTTGGAGATGCCAGGTGGCCTGATGGTCGCAACATGCTGCTGAGCCACTGGACTGCTTGCTGCATTCTAAATGTTGCGTTTGCCTCTTGCAGATGCCCCAGTCAGCTCTGTGGCCCTCCGCCAGTCGGGAGGCTATGTTGCCACAATTGGAACAAAGTTCTGTGCTTTGAACTGGGAAGATCAGTCAGCCATTGTGCTGGCCACAGTAGATAAAGACAAGAAAAACAATCGATTCAATGACGGGAAGGTGGATCCCGCTGGGAGATACTTTGCTGGTATGGTTTATCTTTAGCACCTCTATTACTGAGCTTGGGACAAAACCATATCGCTTATAAAAGTTTCACTGCTTTAGTGGTAAAAGTGTTATTCATAATGGATCTTGGGTTTTTTTCATTATTACTTGAGTAACTTGTATCACTAAAAAAAAAATCCTATGAGAAAAACTTCATAGATATTCCTTTCACTTTCTGTCTCTAACAGAAACTAAAATTTGTATGGTACTTTTTTGGTTTCAATAAGTTTTAAATACAGAGGATTTGTTGTTGAAGTTCAAATTAGAAATAATTTCAAATTTACAGGAAAAAGGTAAGAATTGTAGAAACAACACCTGTATGCCCTTTACTTGAATTCACTTATTGTCAACATTTTGTTCCACTTGCTCTCTCTATCTATATAAACATATTTTTCTCCAGAATCATTTGAAAGTAAGTTGCATATATCATGTGCCTTTACTCCTAAAATACTTCAATGTGAATTTCCCAAGAAAAAAGACATATTCTTACATGACCACTTTATAGTTATCAACTTAAAGAAGTTTAACATTGATACAATAGTTTTATATGATGTATTATCTATATTCCAATTTTGTCAATTGACCATTCAGTTAATTTTAAAATGTCCTTTATAGCATTTCCCCTTCCAGTCTAGGATCATGTATTGCATTTAGTTGTCATGTCTTTAATATTCTTTAATCTGGAACAGAATATAGCCTTTCTTTGTTTTTTTTTATGACATTGAAATTTTTTAAAGAACAAGTCCCACCCAACTCCCCCCTTTTTCAATAGAACATTCCTCGTGTCCCTCATGTTTTTGTGTTTGTATAACATTTCCTTGTGGTTAGAGTAATGCTATACATTCATGGCTAGAATACTGCATAGGTGATGTTTTGGCCTTCTCAGGTATCCCATCTGGATACTGTCTGTCTCTCTTGGTTGATGTTAGTTTTGATCACCCAATCAAGGTCTTCTCAGATTTTTCCACTGAATAGTTGTTATTTTTTATTTGCAATTTATAAGCATTTTGTGGGGTTTGTTAATTATCTATTGCTGTGTAACAAATTACCCTGAAATTTAGTGACTTAAAATAACAAACATTTATTATCTTACATCATTTCTGAAGGTCAGGAATCTGGGTGTGGCTCAGCTGGATGGTTCTAGTTCAAAGTTATGTCATGAAATTGCAGGCAAGTTGTCAGTGGGGGCTACAGCCTCAGAAGGGACTGGAGTCTCTGAAGGGGCCTGGAGGATCTGCTTCCCAAGCTCACTCATGTGGGGGTTGGCAGGACGCTTCAGTTTCTTATCATGTGGGCCACTCCATAGGACTGCTCTGGACGTGGCTTCCCCCAGGGCTGGTGGAGAGAGAGAGAGGGTGGGGGGAGATGGAAGCTAGTTTTATTATAACTAATCTCATAAATGGCATAGCATCACTTCTGCCATGTGCTATTGGTCACACAGGCAATGGTGGAGGGAACTATACAACGGTGTGAATACTGTGAGGCAGGGATCATTAGGGGCCATCTTGGTGCAGACTACAACATGGGGAGATACTTTAAGTCCAAGTAAATATCGTAGTTCTCATCAAAATCTCTCATTTACATTTTACATTCTTTGATGATTCTAGCTTGAACCAATCTTTACTGTGATGGTTGCAGAATGACTTACATACAGCTTTAAATGAATTTTAACTACAGTTTGAACTTAAATAATGCATTTCACACCAATTTCTCATTTATCTCCTATAATAACAACCTTATAAATTAGCCAAAGTCCATTCTATTCTTTTTTTTTTTTTTTTTTTTTTTTTTTTT